GAATTTTGGAATTTGGGAATTTGGGAATTTGGGAATTTTGGGATTTGGAGAATTTGGAATTTGGGAATTTTGGGATTTGGAAATTTGGGATTTGGAAATATTAATTTCCTTAAACCTACATACACAATGAAATAACCTACATACACAACCTACCTCCACAATGAAATTTTCATAAAAAGTTTACAGAAAAGTTTATTATTACATATAAAAATCATAAATACAATTCACCAAGAATCCCGAAAAAAATACAGATCAATAAAAGATGTAAGTTCTCGAACAACGTGCAATTAGCCAAGCATCTGAATGGCGATCGCAAAAGACACAAAGGGAAGAGAAACGCCTTTTAATTCGGAGGTTAAAAAAGTCTGGGTTTCAGAAAACTGGTAGAGATGCTCTTGTCGGAAAAGCGACACAAAGAGAGAAGTTTGAAAATCTCTCGACGGCTTTTCAAAGAGGTCGTTCTCGTCTTTTCGATGTTGCCGCGCTTAATGTTGAAGCTGGTCCACCATATCCTTTACTATCGGTGTTTCTCTGCTTCTCTTGCATTCGTACTTCCGGCTTTCAGACGCCCAGACAAGCACCGTCACGCCATTGTGTATGTGTCATTCGGGTAACGAGTTAATTTATTCGATAATCGTCGCGAAATCATCCTCAATGGACAAAGTATGTACACAGTATGTACAAGTACACTGTCAGTAAGAGTACTTTATCTTTCATTTTAATTTTAGTTTTCATCTGGATATAATGAGAGCAATGAAAACATTTATTTTACACATTGCTCATATGTTACATGAATTGAATGTTTTCGTCTGTGATACTGAAAGGCTTAGTCAAGTTATTAAATTATTAAGGGTCAGTCAAATTATCAAATTATTCAGGGTTAACCACATTATCTGGATATAATAAGAGCAATGAAAACATTTATTTTACACGTTGTTCATATGTTACATGAATTGAATGTTTTCGTCTGTGATACTGAAAGGCTTAGTCAAGTTATTAAATTATTAAGGGTCAGTCAAATTATCAAATTATTCAGGGTTAACCACATTATCTGGATATAATAAGAGCAATGAAAACATTTATTTTACACGTTGTTCATATGTTACATGAATTGAATGTTTTTGTCTGTGATACTGAAAGGCTTAGTCAAGTTATTAAATTATTAAGGGTTAGTCAAATTATCAAATTATTCAGGGTTAACCACATTATCATGTTATTCGGGGTAAATTTGTCAGTTAGGGTGAATTATCAAGTTATTAAAGGTCAGTTAAATTATAAAGGTTTCATCAAATTATCGGACACAGTTCAACTCAATTAATTTGCATAGAAAATCAAATCAATTAGTCCAAGAGATTTTCCAAAAATTTGTAGTTTGTGATCCCCGTGCTCCCAATGCAAATTTTCGAGATTTCAATCTGGAGCATGTGCTCCGCGATGCAAATCCCGAACTTCGTTACACCAGGTAATTTCCTTATCTCATCGCTTGCACTTTCAACAGTCGTAACGAACAGCAAACACCGGTTTGATCCGTTGAAATTTCACGATCCCAAAGAAATTACGTTGGAGGCAGAGTCCCGAATCAGGAATCAGAGATTGCACCATCGCCCTCCTTTTCCGGTTATCCGTCGTTTTCGACGCCTACCGCGATGTAATGAAGTTCTGCTGCATTAACGCTGCTGCCAGATTGTACGGAATCGAGTTCATGATTGCTGATCGCCCTCGGCGTTAATATATGCTAATTAAGAGCCTTAAGGGTCGCGAAATGGGGGTTGGAATAACTATTGCGAAAGGGATCGTGGATTTTCGGGAAGTGGAATCTGTTTTTAATTTTTGTTCCAAATTGTTTTTATTGGTTTATGGAATTAGATATCACATTTCTAAGTTTTTAGGGGTTTAAGTTTATACATTTCTAAATTTTTTAATTTCTTGAATTTTGGGAGATGTTAAATTTCTGTAGTCCTCATATTTCTTATATTTTTTAAACTTAGTAAGTTTGTAAGTTTCTCAAGTTTTTTTACATTTCTCAAAATTTTCAAGTTTCTCAAACTTCTCAAATTTGTAGATTTCTAAGCTTGAAACCTCCGTGTTGATCTCCCATCACCATGAACCTAAGTTACCAATATTAATCCACAAATTCGTGATTTCTCTGCCAGCATCGTCAACCTAAAAAGTTCGTGAAACGACAAAGATCTCTCCACAGGGTTCGACCATAAACAAGCACAGTCATCCACCGGTACAAAACCTAGAAGCGAACGGTTGTAGCCATCACTCATCAGAACCGATTAAACAGCAATTAAACGCTAGTCCCTCGCACAGCGTCATTAGAGGAATGTTACAAGAAAGGGGCATCTAACAAACTCGATGATACTTCACTGTCGTACACGTTTATTGAAACGATATTACGATGCCTGCATCAGCAAGCGATTACCAGGTGCTAACAGTAATTGACTTCTATAATAACCGCATGCAAGCGTGAAACATTGTATAGAAATATTATATATAAAACATAATAAATAACAGTCTGATTTGCCGAGTCCAGATTTACGGTAATTGATACATTCGAATCGGTTCGTCTCCGCTGGTGTGCACGCAAATTCGATAGGATGAAGAGGAACACGGGTAACTAGAGCCGTAATTGACGACGTAATTACTACTGTAAGTTTGCGGTAGCATCGTGTACTGAGTGCTGGGTAAATAAGATACTGCCTGGCCGTTGGGAAGCTGATAAACTTGCACCACTTGTTGACCACTGTTTCCTACTAAATTATTCGATATTGCGTCGTCCTGAGCGTTGAAATCACCGGAAGGGTCACTTGTGTCCGATGCTTGTTTGAACGTACCGATCACTGCATGACTGTGGTGACCCTTTACCAGTTTTGTATGATGTAGCCCTCCGTAGTTTCCGATCATCAGTTTGTTGGTTTTGCTCAGACCGATTACCTTTGTTCCGTGCTGAAACATAATTTCGGGGTTCATTCGTATCAAATTTTTAAGGTTTTAGGTTCTCTAATTTTCAGAATTTTTCATTTCTAAATTTTTTCATTTTTAGGTTGTTACATGTTCAGGTCCTTTTCTTTCAAATTAAATTCCTAAGTTTTTGAAAGTTTTTTCATTTATAATTCTTTACACTACTGGGTCTACCAATGATCTTTTTGGTCCAAATTTTGTTATGTACACAACAGTCAAACGATGACTATTTCATGGAGCAATATATCTTCAAACTGTATCCATCAAATCGTGTGTCATAAAACACCAGCAGCAATATCAACTACCTCAATACCTTTATCTACCTTAACACCTCTATCTACCTCAATAATGAATATCACGCAACTAACCCCAAAACTTGGAAATTTAAAAATACGACAGATCCTTAACACTAGATTTACGGATGTTTGATGGTCACTTTTAAATTTATCTAAAGTAGAAAAATAAATAAATTGCAGATGATATGTGAACTGCCTAAAACATTGATTCTTTTGCTGAAAGTTGACATTTTTACAAAAATTTCTTAACAAATTCTGTCATCTAAAATAGACCTATTATCCGTCATTTTGACGGGTTCTGTAAATCTAGTGTTAAGACCTAAACCCTTGAGATCTATACCCTTGAGACCTATACCCTTGTGACCTATCTATCAATTTGCAACGAGTCATTCAAAATTAAAGTACTTACAGTCCTCGCCTGGCGATGCTGGTTATGGTTCACATCACCTTCCTTCGATTGAGAAACAGCGGAACTCGGTCTGGGATCGGGGAAGTTCCTTTGCTCCATGCCTTGCAAAACTTCCGTCTGATGTTGTTGAGGTGCGGGTTGTTGCAGTAGCATAGCGTGTTGTAGATTTTCCAGTTTTATTTGAGGGGGTTGAATCGGCGTGGAAGACACTTCCGGATACTGCGACGCTGGCTGTGTCAACACGGTTTCCTCTGCATTCGTTTCGGACGGCGTCTGTTTGCTCGTAATTTCCTGGTTGGAATCGAGGGCTGGCTCCATCACGCGATATTCTTGGTACATTGGGTACATGTTCGAAGGATTCAGACCTAATAGGGAATCGGTCATGGGTTGATTGTCGCTTTGGCGTACCTTCACGTTCTTCTCTGTGGAGTTATTAGGTTCAGTTGATGTATAATCGCTTATATTTATTTTTTATTAAAGGATTGTATGGAAGACAAATTGGAAAACGACTACAAATGTGCTGATGTGTATATAGTTTACATATACTGTGTTTATAGTTTGCATGTACTGTAAATTATATAAACTGTTGTAGGCGTTTATTGTGCGGAACCAATAAGTACCTACACATCGTTTAATATAAATCAAATTTATTGTACGAGACAAATAAATGCCTACACTGTAATAAATGAAGTTAATTCAAAGCTTATACTTATTGCAATGCGATGAATTTTAATAATTCAGTTTGTCGAAAGAAATTGAAGGTGAATTTTAGCTCCTTAACCTACAATTTCTTGAGCAGCTGCGTCATTCACAGCTATCTCATTATTGCTACAAGGTTAAAACAATGAATGGATGTAGAAGTCTTACATACATTTTGTCTTCAGTGATCTTTGATTATCCAGGTTATAATTAAAATTGAATGTAAACGATTACAGTGAAAAAAGTCTATCACGTTCAAACTGTGCGTCACAAGTGCGTCACGATATTGTAGGACAAGGGGTTAATTATGTTAAAAATGTGAAGCTGGTTTTACCATCGAGACCTTTGGTGGATTCGCCATCTAGACTCTGCAAATCAATGACTGGGGAAATATTTTCGTCTAGGGACGACTTCGTGGCCACAGCATCGAGTTTATCCCGCTTCTGCCTCTGCCCAGCAGCACTGGGTTCGACAGACCGCCTGTTCCGGCTATGTACTGGCTAAGAAAATTTGTAAATTAGCTTCGAAATATTATTCACCAATATAGCCATTTTTTCTCAAATTTTTGTTTGTAATATTTTTGAGAGTCTTCAATTTTTTTTTTCAGTAAGATGACACTTATTAGAAGAACATATTCAGTTAATTATTTTCCTGTCTTTAACTCTACATGCTATTATCTTTTAACATTTATCAAATTTTTCTTTGTAACATTTATGAATCTCTTCAATTTTTTTTTCAGTAAAATGACACACATCAAAAGGACATTTTCAGTTAGTTAATTTTCTGTCATTAAATGGATACATGCTATTTTCGTTTCAGCTTCGTCAAATTTTTGTTTGTAATATTTTTGAAAGTTTCTTCAATTTTTTTTTTTAGTAAGATGACACTTATTAGAAGAACATATTCAGTTAATTATTTTCCTGTCTTAAACTCTACACGCTATTATCTTTTAACATTTGTCAAATTTTTCTTTGTAACATTTATGAATCTCTTCAATTTTTTTTTTTTAGTAAAATGACACACATCAAGAGAACATTTTCAGTTAGTTATTTTTCTGTCATTAAATGGATACATGCTATTTTCGTTTCAGCTTCGTCAAATTTTTGTTTGTAATATTTTTGATAGTTTCTTCAATTGTTTTTAATAAAATGACACTCACCAAAGGAACATAATCGGCAGAAGCTGGAGCAGGCATCCCCACAATTCCGAAATCACTCACTTGCCCAGGGTTTAGTTGATTATAATTCTGTGGTATCAGCTGATAGTGTTGTAATAGGGGATGCAGAGCATCAGCAGGGACGTGATAGGAATCCGTGTAAACTGGATGAAACTCCAAATGGTAATCCGCGGATTTCGGTTGTTGTGGATGATCTTTGTTCACATATTGCATAGTTTCAGGAGGTTGGGTTATTATTGAATGATGCTGCTGGGGTTGATATCCAGGCTGTACCAAGATATCGGCCATCCCGTTTCTCGTTAACACAGCCACCGATAACTGAAACAATATTGGATATAAATTATTTATCCACGCTTTCTTTAGAATTACCGAATTACGGTCTAAAAGATTATGCAAAAAGGAGAAAATATTACTGTAACGAGACTTATTTCATTCTTCACGCTTGTTTATTAGAACTTTCCCTTCATAACTCGCTGATATAATTAATGATCTTTGGTTTCTTAAAACCGAGGTAGACAAAAATAAAAGTTGGAACTACGCTTTTCTACGATTTAATTTTTTCAAACTTTCAAGTTTCTTTTCAACTTTTTTCAAACACTCTTGTTTCGTATGAAACATTTCTCTATTTCACCTCTCAGAATAATAAAAAGCTCAAAATCGTACAAAACTCACCACCAGTATCCATTTCGCCATTGTTATCTCGTTGTCAATCGTCCGGAGGTACAATCAAAACTGCGACCCGCGTTCAGAAAACGCGTGAATTAATCAAGGAAAAGTTGCTGAGACCACAAATTTCCTGCAGCACGCACCGTTTTTTGTCGGGTCAACTGTCGTAACTTCGGACGACAGCTAAATTCGCAGATCCATTGTGTTTTTTTTTTGGGTCAGTCTTTCGAAATTGAATTTCGCAACTGTACGTGAGTACACTTCTACCTGGCTTCGTATTTTTCTTCTCTTATCGTTATATTGTATTATCTGCGCCGTGGAAAGACACGCGACGGTCCCTGCTGGGAATTTCTTTTTATCCCGAAGAAATAGCTTTTCGTTACATTGTACTTTATCTTGTCTCGCGGAACGTGCAGATTCATAATTCACACCCTCTCGAATCAAGAATCGCTTTCCGGCAAACTTTCATCGCCATATGGGGGCGCAGTCGATAACGATTCTCCCTTTTATCCATAATCTTTTTTCTTTTGGCGCCTACTGTCTTGGCACGGTGAATACCAGCAGCTTTTTGCGGGAATACAAAGTGGCTGATTTGAGGAAACGATCTAAATATGAAAGTTTCATGCTCCAAATTTAGGGAAGTTCAAGAATCAAAGGAGGTTCAAGTGTAGGCTTTTTTAATTCATAAACTTTCTGCACAAAAAATTGTCGAGTCTTAAAGTTTGTCAATTGAAAAATTTTTTGTGCAGAAAGTTTGTGAATTAAAAAAACCGACACTTGAACCTCCTTTGATTCTTGAACTTCCCTAAATTTTGAGCATGAAACTTTCATACTTAGATCGTTTCCCGTGTGAATTGTCAAACTTGAAACTTGTGAATCTGTAAGTTCAAGAGTAAGTATTCAGTAAGTAAGTATTCTGAATACTGTAAGTACAGATCTACAAGTGTCCAAGTTTGACAATTCACATCTTCCAAAATCACCTCACAAACTCTTAATGTACGAACTTAGAAATTCTTCAACTTCATACCACTTATCAGATTGCAAAATAACTCCGCAAGATTCTAGCGTGCATCCGTACTAGGAGAAATTCGCATCCAATGTTATTTAACGTCTAGTTAACTGCTTAAATCGCATTAAACGCGCTCTACCCGAAAGGTCCTGCGCTAAAGCGTTTATGCACAGGATTTTAATATAATTCGTTAAAAAACCGGACACCGTGAATTTCTCTCTTATTTCAGGGCGTCGAATAATTATCTCGTACGGAAGTGAACGCGAACTTCGGTTTAAATATTCGCGAGAGTTTAGTAGGAGAATGGTAGATCAATGTCCGAATCGTCTATCCATCCAGTTTACGAGACAATCAGGGCATGTCAGCGGAGACGGTGGCCTCAAAGTGCAACGAACTTGTGAAAACAAGGATTTCGCACATTCCTAACGCGCATACCATTATTTGGTTTTGCAATACCTCGATCGATTCACGATTACCGTGAATCAGATCAACTGTGTTGAATTAGGGTTATAGATTGCAATCAAAGAAAACGAGGTCCATAACTCGCTTGATTATACTGATCGTGCTACAAAATTACCCATAATTTCGCTAAAACGACACAGCTGTGCGATTATTGAAATCGTGCTACAATGTAGCTTGAATAGGGAAGGTTCACAGGGAAGTTGAATTTTATTAGGATTATCTGAACAAAGCATTCGTTAAAATTTTGTGGAGTATCTGTGGTTGATCAGGATCGTTTACGAACACAAATTGGCTCGTTATGGAGAGGTAGAGTTCTATTACACAGTCAGGAACATTATTACAGTGATAGAAGTTTGATCGAATGGTTCAAACTTGAGTGGATTAGAATTTGTAAATTGTAACTCTGGGAATTGAAGACTAGAGACTTAAAATGAGCTTCTAAGTTTACTTCTAAATTTACTTCCGAGCTTAGAAATTTTAATTTAGAGTTTTACAAATATTCTGCAACTAAGAAATGTTCAGACTCTAAGATGTTCCAAGCTCGAATCGAACCTCTATAATTACATTAAAGAGCGCACAGTAAATCAATCTCCATTTCTCTATCTAGTCTTTCCAATATACTGAATGTAACAAGATGGAGGCTGTAATTATGGTCTCTATGTTTAGGTTGCGTATTCGGTACGTGATGCCGGCGGCGCACCTGACGCTGCGCGAGGAGGACGTGGTACGCTTAACCTTGGAGTTCCTCCACAGCCGTGACCTTCACATCTCGCAGCTATCGTTGGAGCGTGAGACAGGGGTGATAAACGGTCAGTACAGCGACGACGTCCTCTTCCTTCGTCAGCTGATCCTTGACGGACAATGGGACGACGTGTTGGAGTTCATTCAGCCTCTGGAGGCGTTGCCGGACTTCGACATGAGGAAGTTCACCTATTCGATCCTGAGGCACAAGTATGTGGAGCTGTTGTGCATCAAGTCCGAAGCGAACGTGATCGCGGCGGGTACGAACGGAAGCGTGGACAATGCCGTGGAGGAAGTGGTGAAGGTGTTGAGCGACCTCGAGAAGGTCGCGCCCTCCAAAGAGGAGTATAGCAGTTTGTGTCTGCTGTTGACGCTCCCGCGGCTCACTGATCACCTGCAGTATAAGGACTGGAATCCTAGTAACGCGAGAGTCCAGTGTTTCCGGGAAGTGCATCCTCTGGTGGAAAAATTTCTGCCTGGGGACCGAAAGAGCACCGACCCGGCTCATCCTGTCACCTCGGCGAAGAACGACCGACTCATACAACTGATAATTAAGGGCATTCTGTACGAGTCCTGCGTCAATTATTGCCAGGCTAAGGCCACAGGCTCCAAAGAGAGCGAACAGGTAACTATTTACTTTGTTTTTATCTTTTACAAAGACCTGATAATGGTACATTTACTTTTACAGGTGGAGATGAATTTCTCTCGACTGCTGGACGGTTCCGTCGGCTTCAGCGATTCGGACTTAAGTTTGCTCTCTTGGCTGCAAAGTATACCACCGGAAACGTTCGCTGTTCCTTTCGCGCAGCGGACTCTGAACGTGGACGTGGAACGCTTGGAGAGACCGTCGTTGGAGACCTCGTGGACGGAACACATGTTAATCACCCCGATAAAGCCGAAGACGTTCCCGCATAGCGCGATGCCGTTCACCAGGCCACGATCCGCCGCTGACATGATGTCTCGCAGTTTAGTACCGGCTCTAGAAGCTGGACTCGGACCAAGGAGTCCCGGGCCTAAAAATACACCGATACCGTCTGCGGCGCTAATGGCCCTGTCCACCGGTGATATAAACCCGATGTCGAGATCGTCTTTCGCGAGCTTTCATCTGACCGGCTTTAAGAACAACAAGCTAATGAACACCAGCGTGGACAGGTTGTTCGAGAACGAGGGTGACGTCTTCCTTAGCTCTAGCTACGCCGAGTTCCAACAGCTGCCTTCCATACAAGAGACGACGACCAACAGTCAGCCGAAAGCTCCACCCAGAACGAGGGGGCAGTCGAAGAGTCCTGAAGGTGCGTTTGGCATCATATCTAAACACGTGTGGCACCTTAAACACAGTACTAATTAATCTAAATTAACGTTATCGAAGATAATTACAAATAAACATTTCAATGATCGTAGAAAACGTATACACAATTAACGTTTAAATTATCTTTTGAAGGAATCAAAGCTGACCCTTCGGCAGCCTCGACCCCAGAGCGAAGAGTCGCCGGTAGAGAATCTCCAGCACCGTCAACAGCCAGGAGTTCCAGAAGAGATTCTTTAGCTGAAAAGCCAACCGGGGTCGCAGCTAAGATCACGGAGCCCACCGTGATTCCTGGACGACCCTCCTTGGGCGGTGAACATCTAGAACAGAGTTACAATGGAGACCTGTTCAAGGAGTATCAAAAGCAAAAGCAGAGGCTGCAGGAGAAGTTCCAGCAGAGAGAAAGGGAATGGGACGATTTGGTCAGACAGCTGTCGGCACCGTTGTCTCCGCAGGTGGTCGACAACAGACTTCAAAATGACGGGTAAGTGAACATGTTGTGACTTGTTATCCCTTTATAAAGGTTGAAGAGATGGCTGTGGATCAATACTGCTTGACGGTTCTGGATGTGAATGTAATAGGAAAATGTCACAAACATTCATTTGTAATAATCGAAATTGTACTGTGATTTTATGAGTGATTACACAATCTTCATGAAGGATTATGTTTAAATTTTTTTGAAAAGTAAATGTATTGGCAGAGTGTTCAAGATTTAACAATGTCAATGGTGTACTTAGAATATTATCAGTTATTATAATAAGTAGAGAGACATATTATTCACCGATGACTTTAATAAAAATATGTAAATTTATGAAGGTTACAAACTTTTGAAGCCGACGAAGATAATAGACAGATAATGTTATAGCTGTTTAATCGCGAATTTAACACATTTTGATGTATTTCCTTTGGGAGTTAATGAAGGCTTTGTATTTTGGTTAATTATTCGTCGGATATAATCCAAACGTTATTGTTTTCCGTGTATCGTATAGCAGTGCAATACAGTCAATCAAACCGAGTGGTTAGCTACATTCTCTAACAGATGGCAGCAAGGGAATGCCTTTCTCGCGCTTATTATGGTACTAAAGCGCGAGCCGAGAATAACTTGCTCGGTCTAGACGGCAACTTGGCGCCGATCGAAATAGCGATTCACCACGGGCCGCGTTGAAAAAAGAATCAGCAGCATTATTTTAGTAGCTTGACAATGACCTCCGACTTCCGGCCTTTGGTTCGACGTTCTGTGCGGAGTGTCCCACTCAAACGTCCTCACATTTTATTTCTATCACTTGAATTTTATTTACCTTTGTTTTACTACAAAACAGGTTATAAATTTATATACAATTAGTACAATTATAAACAAAATTTTAGAATGATCGATTGTGACAAATTAATGAAGGTCTATACAATATAAATCATAGCACATTATTTGAGCATTTATATTTTTGTCAAAATAGCGGCAGAGATATAAATCTTCATTCTGAAAATTCTCCGAATTTAAAAAGTTCACAAAATCACCCGGTAGAAAAATATTATTTCGCCACTTCCAGCTTGTTTCTTTTTACCCGATTCTTTTGGAAGTTGCGGAGCGTAACAGCGTTGTTTTCCCACGTCCACATACACGGGCAGCTTCGCCATAGACAAATCAGTAGTGGCAGGAAGTCATCCCTCGTGAGTGTCGCGCGAATTCCTTTTCGCGAACGAATAAACGGTCCCGGCTGTATCCTCGTAAATGTCGCGTAACGAGCTAAAATTACCGCCGGTTTCGAGATGTCAAGTGCAATGTATCTTTTCTACGAAGGCATATCGGTCACATCCGGTAATAATAATTGAAACGCCGTTTCACTTCGAATCTGCGAATCCGCGAGTTAAGTTGACCCACATATCGGGGCGGGATCATTACTTTTATCCGCGTCGTTCATTAGGAGCTTCGTTATGAATAGGTATTAAAATTGTTTTATGTACTCGTAATATTTTTGTGCTGATGTTGAGGATGGTTTAGGATGGGTATAAATCTAATGTGGGTATAATGTGGCACTGTTTGGTTACCTATGTGTAGAGAATATCTAATCTACTTATACTTAGTGAATTTATACTAGCTTTATGTCTAGCATCTATACCTATATCATCCTACATATGTACATACATGATACATACAGCATATCTATATCATCCTATACACATTATACGTACATGATACATTGCTGCATACCTATCATTCTATATACATCATACATACATGATACATACAGCATACCTATATCATTTCATATACATCATACATACATCATACCTATATCATTCTATATATATATCATACATACATGATACATACAGCATACCTATATCATCCTACATACATGATACATACAGCATACCTATATCATTCTATATACATCATACATACATCATACCTATATCATCCTATACACATCCTACATACATCATACATACATCACACATGTACCTATCTACAGATATATCTTAACTCTTACATAATATTTGACGTCTACAAAAAACATAGAACTGTATGAATAGATTTAGCAAATGTGGACGTAGCAACTATAGACCTAAAAAAAACATGAACTCAGAGAACCTATGTCTAAAGACATTCTCCAGAAAATCTAATATAATTGCAAAAGCCATAAATCTCCCCAGATGCAACTGCACATCATCAAAGCGTTAAAGTAAGAAGGTATCTGGTTTACCGACGCATGTAGCAGCAGCTCTATCATCTGTCAGGTGTAGTTTCCTTATCTTTAATCGAACATTTTGCAACCAGCGATTAGGTTTCGTAACCCAAATAGCTTTCAATGACGTCGAGAGGTGGTTCAGATATGAAAGAAATGAAAGTGGAATTCAGGCACGGTTCATTGGCATCGACCGCTGACATTGTTCCACGGCCGGATGCCGGATGTATGAGAATAGTAAGTACGTGCACGTTGTTACAGGGAAATCGTGACCATACAGCCTCGTCATTGGTCGCGTCCCATCGACGCGTTCTCGCTTCACGATTTCGTTATACATATTTATGGTCTCATTGTCTCATTCATGCACATCGTAAAACGCGAATGAACGTGTGGATTTAACGACTTGACAGATGAGTTTTCCGCGTCTGACAATTCTGATATCTGCAGACCGAAACGAGTCGCAGCGGTTATTCTACCTTTAACGCGTGTAAACTCGTTTTTTACGGTGGTTGTATTGGAGATATTTTGCATCAAACTCATAATTTTTCATCGACAAAATTGCGTATAGGTATGAAGACTCTGTCGATGTTTAAATACCTGTCGTATCGTTTTGAAAAGATAGGAAGAGTGTTATTGTTGCTCGAGTATTAGCTCTTATATTTCGAAATTGACATTCATCAATCAATCGAAATAACATATTCGCTGTAACATTGTTATACGAAATATTGTAATTGTATGTACATATGGAGAGTCAATGTTTAAATATTTTTTTATTGTCTCAAAAAGATTTTAGTTTTTGCTGCTCATGTGAACTCCATTACCTCACATATCGAAATTGAAATTCATCGGTGTAACACGTAATGGGAGTTAACGATTTAGCTTGAAATTCGTTCGAGCCTAATTAAATGCAGACACGGATGGAGTAAAATACCAGACACTGGTGCTGTCTGAATGGTATTCGAGTTCAAAAGGCTAATTATCCTCAGCCGTCTGTAGACAAGGTTTAACTTATTCCAGAAGTGACAATGCAGTGGTTGCGGTCGTACAAGTTGGGTATTTGTGCGTGCATATAAATTGAATTGAGAATGTTATTACCAGAGCCATAAAACATGAAATAGATGTTATTGAATGCTGAAAGCTAACGCTTTGTGAAGTTCTAAGGTTGATACAATCTATGCTATTCGCTTTAGGTAAAATAATACGTGTCAAGTGTTAAGAACGTATACAATTATAAATTACTGTAATGATTTGAGGTCAGATGTGGATCGTTTGAGGAATTAATTATCTCGATCGACGTGGAAACTCTTTCTTTCGCGTTTATTGCTGTAGTAACTTGCGAAATTGAACGCGAGGCTGATTCAGAGGTTTTATCGTTATCTCTATCGTTCGATCGAGAGACATAATCGCGAGATTGTACTCTCGGGAGGTCTTACCTTGTCTCGTGGAGAGATACAGTGATGACCATTAAAAGAATCGATCGTATTCTCGATAGTTCTAAGAACTGCGGTTCAATTTTATGTCTTCAAAGTTGATAAGGTGGAAAATCTTCAAACAAATTGTTAGAAATTATGAATTGTTACAATATCTGAATTTATCCAAGTAATCTTGTTATCCAAATAATCAGACATTAATAAAAATGTGAATATCCAAACTAAGAAAATTGACTTGCGTAGAGAAAATTGTATGAACTTTCTGAAGAAAGTGACGAGTGAATAACCGATTCGTTGATCGGCTAAATATAAAAAGACAGCGAAGAATAGCAGGATTTTCTAATTACGTCCGAAAGTCTAATCGTCGATGCTTAACGAGATTATATCCTTTCAATAGCGTCCATTTGTAGACGTACTAACGAGACTGGTTAGCAATCACGTTGACGTGTTCATGGTGTAAGTCAAGGAATTAGTGGTGGCCAAAAGGAGTTTCGAGTGTCTGGCCACTTCGTTAACCGCAAAATATGAGCGCATTTAAACAGTGAGATTTACGTTTCGTGGCCACTGAAATAAGGGCTGCACGAGAATCCTTGATCCTTCAACAGGTTCAACAAACGAGGTCGTTCCCAATGATTCACTGCGCTTAATTCCTCGCCGGCAAATCCCTTTAAATGGCTACGTGCTACTGTAACTTTGCTAGTAGAGAAAAAGTCAATGTTCGAGGTTGTGTGCACTAAATTTATCTTTGCAATTGTAGCTCTGATTGTAAGAGTATAGTAGACTCCGTTGTATCGGAGTTGTATCAGAGTTATAGTAATGGGTGTAGTAAGGGTAGTTTTTAAAATGGATTGATGTAGCGGGTTAATTGGGAATGTCAAAGGTGATAGAATACTGGGGATGTTGGGGTTACTAGGGAATACAACGCGTGGTGACTACTATGCGTGGGAAATACAACGCATGGGAAATTCTACGCGTGAGGAATTCAACGCATGGGAAATTAGACGCATGGAGAATGCAACGCATGGAAAATTCAACGTGTGGAAAATACAACGCATTGGAAATTCGACGCGTGGAAAATACAACGCGTGAGAAATTCAACGCATGGGAAATTCGACGTGTGAGAAATTCCACGCATGGGAAATTCGACGCGTGAGAAATTCAACGCGTGGAAAATTCAACGCATGGAAAATTCGACGCGTGAGAAATTCAACGCGTGGAAAATTCAACGCACAGAAAATTCAACGCATGGGAAATTCGACGCGTGGAGAATACAACGCGTGAGAAATTCCACGCATGGGAAATTCGACGTGTGAGAAATTCCACGCATGGGAAATTCGACGCGTGAGAAATTCAACGAGTGGAAAATTCAA